CACTGGCCTCGGCCTCGGAGGAGGCGGTCTCTGACACCTGGCTCCAGGCCCTGGGCTCCGGAAGGGCCTCTGGGCCGCTGGACACAGGCTGGGGTTCCTGCTGGAGAGACCTCCAGCCCATGAGCTCCCGGCCCAAAGGTCCCAGGGCCCTGGCTCTGCCCCAGGCCCCGCCCATGCCTCCTGCCCTCCTCAGGGGCCTCATCTCATGGAGGACCCCCCTCGGAAGCCCTGAGCGGGTGGCTGGGGGGCTCCCGGTCGGTCCAGGTAAAGGGCCGGTAGCCCTCTCCCACTCCCCGGCAGGGTGCAGCTGGGCCACCAGGCCTACCTCCCATAGGTGGCACCCCCACTTTGGAAGGACACGATGACTTTTCCTGTGAGTTCCCATGGCACCCCAGCTTGCACGCGCACACACACACACACACACACACACATACATACACACACACACACACACACACACACACACACCCCAGGGAGCCAGACCCCAGGGGCTCAAGAGAAGCCAAGGAGAGAGAAAAGGAGGGACAGGCAGTGGGACTTCCACTCCGGTGCTGGGAGCATCTTGGAGATACTGGAGGCTGTGAGCACTCCCTGCCCCCTGCCGACACCGGCACTGCCCCGGGCCTGACTGAATGGGCTGAAGCCGGCCTTGGACCACAGGGCGGCAGGGGCCCATGGCACCAAGTCTGAAGCCTCAGATCACATTCCACGCGGGGGGAGCAGCTGCTCTTCAGGCCAGACCCACCCGGGGAGGCCCAGAGGAAGCGGCCAGGATGGGCCCAACTACACAGAGAGAGCCCGTCCGCCTTGCTGGACCGAAAGACCCCACACAAGACGAAGCCATGTGAGCCTGGCTCGGGCCACGGGAAAGCTGGGGGAGCGGTGGGGGGCCCTGTCTCTTTGGTCCAGACTCTGTTCTAAGTGTTAAAAATAACAGGTTGGGAGATAAGATAGTGCCGTCTCTGACACCTGCCATCTTCGGATGCTTATTTTTAAATCTCGGAATTAGCCCTGGGCCTGGGAGGAGGGGAAGGGGCAGTGGGAGGTCAGGAGATGCACTCTTTTCTCACCAAGGCATTGGCCTGGGGAGTCCCCGAGGGGGACAGTGGTCAGAGTGGGGGCAGGGCCCGGGGTCCTGGCTCTGTCCCAGAGGCATGAGGAACTCCTAGCTGGTCTCTCTCTCGTGCCGTGCCTCAGTTTCCCTGCCCATACAAACAGCTGCCCATGACCAGCCAGGGGATAAACCATGGACAGCAACCCCTTCCAAGATCCCCTGCCGGGCTGGGCTGGGGAGAGGGCTGAGAGCTGGTCTCAGCTCCCCTCTACGGGGCATGCTGTTGGGGGACAGCCTGTCTTCTACCACCGCCCAGCCCGGCTGGGGCAGGCTGGCAGGGGCAGCGGCAGTGGCTCTGAGTGAGGCTGGTTGCCTGGCAGCAGAGCCCTGGGCCCTATGTAAGCAGGTGCTGCCTCTGAGCCAGGGAGAGGTGGCTGGGTGGGGGCTCACCTGCTTGCTGGACTCCTCCTCGGTGCCCAGGCTATTCTCCTCATCTTCCTCTTGGTCATCCGTGTCTGACTCAGCCACGGCAATGGGCACGCACACGGGCTCCGGATCCCCCGGGGGGCCCTGGCCTGGCCGCTGGCCTTCCTCGAACCGGGTCTCCTTGCGGGCCGGGGGCGCCTTCCCAGCAGAAGTCCCAGGTGGTCCGCTTGAGGAAGCGCAGGCCTCGCTGGATCCGGGCCAGGGCCAGCTGCAGGTTGTTCATCTCCCCGTCCTCGTCCGGGGCCGTGAGGTTGTCTGCGCTGAAGGAGCTGAGCAGCAGAGCCAGGAAGAGGTTCAGGACCTGTGGAGACAATGGGTCCGGTTCACCGAGGCAGGCGCCGGGCCAGGGTCCATGATGGGGAAACTGAGGCCCAGGGACCGTAAGGACCGCCAAAGGCCACCAGCTCGAGGTGGGAACCTGGGTCCTGGGCCTGATCCTAACCCCCATTCTCTTGAACATGGAGAGTGTGTCTATGAGAGGAAAGACACATTCTAACCCTCCCTCCCAAGGTCTCAGATATGTGGGGGTTGAGGTTGCACAGACCTAGGTCTCTTGTGTGTTGGCCCAGGTTCAATGGGTCCATGTCAAAGCCTAGGCCTCCCTTGTCAGCAGCTCCTGGGAAGTGGGATCCAATCGGGGGGCCACTGGGGACAAGACAGAACCCCACCCAGAGAGGTTGGGGCGTTCCTGGGGAGGGGCCTCTGCATCCGTTGGTGAAGGAGGGAGGGGTAGTGGCGTGTCTCCAAGCCCCCCCCCCCCACACTTGAGCCACTCACCACTCAAACACCTGGGGCTCCTGCTGTGGAGCACCCTCCGCCTGTGCCCCCAGGTCTGACTACGCTTCCCAGGTGAGGCCCAGGGGGTACTGAGTAGAGAAGGGGACAATGGCAGGACAAGAGCCCAAGTAGCAGCCCTCAGGCGTCTGGGACCAACTGCCGGGTCAGGCTCCTGAGACGGGGTTGTGTCCAGGTGGTGAGGGGTACTTAGATGGGTGCTGTGTGTGGGACCAGACAGTGGGACAGGGTTAAGGGACCTGGGGTTGGTGCCAGGGGCCAGCCCTGGCTCCAAGGCCCATTGGGCTGCGGGGAGTCAGGGGAGGGGCCGAGGTTTCAGAGGTGCTCGAAGGCGGACATCGGTTATACTTTTAACAATAAAGATAAAATTTAAAATGTAGGGATTAAGGACTTGACCCCGAAGGGAGGTTTGCAAGGTCCTCTGTTTGTATGGTCTGGATTACTGTTTGGTGTTAAACCATCCTGCAAGCGAGACGTTTTCTTGCAAATGTGAATTTTTAGCTTTTGCTACGAAAGAAAACTTTTGCTGGGTGACCAGGGGCTGGGCACGGGCACAATTCCCAGTTTCCTGAAGGTTCAATGAAGCGGGTGGTGGGCTCCTGCCCTCATGTGGGCCAGACCCGGCTCGGAGCATCACCAGGCCGACAGGCCAGCGACACACCTCCCCACGCTGGGCTTGGGGTCCCCCCAGAGGGAGCTCAGTTAGATGGGGGCCCCTACAGCAGGGTGGTGTGTGAAGGCGGGTACAGTTCTCACTCTGAGCCCCTGCTGTGGCTTCTCACAAGCCCCGCAGACGCACCTGTCAGCAGCTGGGAATGAGATTCTGATGGAAGGTTGGAGCGCCAGCCCTCAAAGACTGGCCTTTGTTAAAAAAAAAGAGCAACACACACTCATATGGACAGCACGGGAGGGTTAAGAAGTAGGACCTCCGGATCCTATGTCTACGGAGAAATGATCACTTTTGACACCTGCAGCCTTTCTTGTGTCGTCTTTGGGGGCGGGGCATGGGATGTGATTCAGAGCTGCTGTCCACGCAGACCTCTGGCCTGGCCTGCTCCGTTCCTGTTGCCCACCCTGGATCCTCTCACACTGCCCTCACTCACGCCTGGCCCACCGCCCCTGACCTCCAGGTGTCTGCGGCCCAGGCTGGGGGCAGGGCAGGCAGGGGGCGCCTGGGTAGCCTCGTTCGTCCACCCACACAGGACACTAGGGCCTCCCTTGTTGGCAGCTTCAGAAGTTTGTCTCCTTCCAGTGCTTTCCCTGTCAATCACGCTGCTGCTCCCCAGCCCCTGCCTGATCATCACTTCCCATTCTAATGGCAATTGCTTCCTCCCACGCCCTGCAGCAGCCCAATTCCGGGGGGGGGGGGGGGCGCCTGCGTGGGCTGTTAGCTTCCCTCCACAGCAGACTCTAATCTTCTCATCCCCAGACAGATCCGCTTGGCAATGGCAGGGCTGTGTGTTTGAGGGCAGCTCAGGCTGGCCCTTTTCTGAGAGCTCAGTACTGGCGCCCGCCTTGGAATACATGGGGTCCACCAGTTTGAGGAGATGGGAGGAGGGCTGTGAGGCCAGCCGAAGAGCTGGGTTCCGGCAGCTCTGTGCACCGAAGCCCTCTTCCTCTCTGGGCTCCTCCACCTACGGGGCCTGCGGGAGGCGGACCCCATCGCAGCCTGGGCCTGCCCTGGCCTCGTGAAGGCACATGGGAGAGAAAATAGACCAATTGGAGGAAGGGCACCAGAATCTGCAGCTCACAGTACTCCCACCACCTAAAACCTCTCTATGAACTGACATGAGCCTGGGCTGCCCATGCCCTCGGGAGCCAGGCCATGCGGGTGTGATGTCTGAGCATGTGTGGGCCACCTGTGTACCCAGGAGGGTGGCACCATGTCCACAGAGGACACTGAACCACTGGACCTGCCTCAGCCCTGACTCTTCCAAAGGCCCCTTCTTTGGCATTTGGATTTGATCTCTCTCAACTCCGGGATTGCCTATACTGTAAACACCCAAGGCAGGATGCACCTGCCCTTGACAGACAGGTGGTCACGGTAGCAAAGGTCTGGATCCCTCATGATAGACCAGCAGGAACTCCCACCCTAGCTACCCAGGGAGACATACAAGGCTCCCACGGGCCCACCTCACCTGGACCACCACCTGCTGGCACCTGTGTTTTGCTCACCCTGCCCCTTTCCTCTCTACATGTCTAGCAGATCAGCTCTAAACACTCTTCCAGGAAGCCTTCCTTGATTTCCAGTTGGAAGGGATCAGCACCTAGAAGCTCCCACTTAGTGGCTCTGATCGTTCTGATTTGAAAGTTCTAATTTCATGCCTCTTTGAACTCCCCACCTCCCCACTCTCTCAAGTTTACGAGTAACGTCAGGGCCACATTCACCTCTGTATATCCAATAGCCTCTGGCACAATATTTTGCATGCAACCGGGGTTCAGCAAATGTTTGTTAAGTTGAATTGAAAAACCATGCGATAAATCATTGCCAGTGAATGACTAATAAAATGCTAGGTAGTAAGTAAATAAATTAATGAAGGTAAAATGAGAAAATAATAAATAAGCAGGCGAGTTAGTGGGTGAATTAAAGAATGAGTTAACAAATAAAGAGTGATATGAATGAATGGGTCAGTCAGTAAGTAAATAGGTAGATAGATTGATGGAGAGGTAGACAGATGGATGGGTGATTTATGAGTGGATGGCTGGCTGGATAGGTAGATATATAGATGAGTAGAGAGATAGAAGAATAAATGGTAAGGGAATGGGTGAATTGATGAAAAGTCCTAAGTGGGTACATTGGTGGGTAGATGCATGAATGAATGAGAAGATAGATGGAAGGATGAATAAATGAGTAGACGGATGAACGGATGTGTAAATACGTGGATAGATGAGAGACTGGTGGGTGGATAGGTGGTTTGATAGACAGATGGCTGAGTGAATGAATGGATGGATGGAAGGAAGGGCAAGTGAGTGGATAGATGGGTAGCTGGTGGAGGAATGGATGAGTAGGTGATTGTGTGTATGCCAGGCCACTGGCCAACTTACCACAAGGTTGCCAATGACCATCACAAGCAAGAAGACCAGCAGGCACAGTGACTGCCCAGACACCTCCATGCAGTCCCACATGGTCTCGATCCACTCGCCACAGAGGATGCGGAAGATGATGAGAAAGGCATGGAAGAAGTCCATCATGTGCCAGCGGGGCAGCAGGCCCGGGTCGCTGATGCGGTGCCTCAGCTCTGAGTAGTTTTTGCCGAAGAGCTGCATGCCCACCACGGCGAAGATGAACACGATGATGGCCAGCACCAGCGTCAGGTTCCCCAGGGCCCCCACCGAGTTGCCGATGATCTTGATGAGTGTGTTCAGCGTGGGCCATGATTTGGCCAGCTTGAAGACCCGCAGCTGGGGAGGGAGGGGTCCTGTGATAGGCTCTGGTTCCCAGTGCCCACGGACACCCTGATCTCCCTCCCACACTTCCTGCCTGAAAACCCGGGGAGCCCCTGAAAGTCACTGACACCTGTTCCTCCGGGTTTCTCCAAGAGCACACACCACTGTCTCTTCCCACAGCCTGAAGGTAGCTTCAGCGGACTCTGCTCTGGGAGTCAGGTCAACAGCTCCAGCCTCATTTCCCCCATTCAGCCCTTCTCTTTGTCCTCACACCAGCCTCCTACTCCCCTTGGTCTCACTTCAAGGAACTGACTAGATTCTCCCAATAGGGGATGTCCTTTTTCTGCCAGGCCCTTCATCAGTTACCCTTCCAGGCCAGCTCAGCCATCTCTAACTTACCCAATCACCTCCATTTCTTTCTCCTCTTAGTTATAACAGAGAAAGGGAGCCAGTGCTTAGCATGTATTAAAAACTTACTGTGTCAGACCATGTGCTTAGGATGCATCAACTCATACAGGACTCCCAATAACACATGGGGTTGGCACTCTTACTACCTCCTTTGGCAGATGAAGACGGCAACCCTTACAAGTGGAGTAACTTGTCTAAGTTCCTTGGCTCATGGCAGTGGAGTTGGGATTAGAACTCACCATCTAGGCTTTCTCAACTGTTCCCACCAGGCTGCCTTCCTGAGCACCAACAGTGCTCAGACGTCCGCCGGGAAGCCTTCCCTGACCTCCTTCCAGCCCTATGTCTGGACCTCTCAGGCATTTTAAACGTAAAGCATAGTCCACAAGGAGCTCTGGCATCACCTGAGACTCACTGAACTGTCATCAGCAGTTTAACAAGATCCGCGAGCGAGTTGTGTGTGCATTTGTTTGCAAAATGCGGATTCTGAAACCAGCAGGCAGAACCCCAGAAGAGCTGTTGGCAGATCTGGCTCCACCTGCTACTTGCCAGGGGGCTTTGGGAAATTGTTTCTGACTTCTTTCATGACTCTTCCAAAGAACTCTTCTTTGGCATGTAGATTTTGAGCTCTCTCAACTCTGGGATTCCCCACATCGTAAAGACACAAGGCAAGATGCACTTGCCCTTGACAGACAGGTGACCATGAAAGCAAAGGCCCAGATCCCTCATGACAGGACAGCAGGAACTCCCACCACAACCACCCAGGGTGACAACCTCTCTGAGTCTCAGTTTTCTCATCTGTGCAATGGGGATATAGTAATATCAGCCCCACTCCCGGGATCCTGTGAGGACTAAAGGGTGACTCACAAAGGGCTTTGCAAATCATCCGATGGCCACCCCAACTGCTCCTCTGGAGGGATATCTCTTTCTGTCTTGCCTCCCCCCGCCAATCTGGGCCTGGCACCCAGGGGCACTTAGCCAATAGCTGTTGGGTGAAGGCATGATGGCTCAGAGTTGGGGTGAGTGAGTGGTGCCCCCCGGCACCTGCCCCACCCCCCTGCAGAGGGCCCAGCAGGTACCAGGCGGAAGGAGCGCAGCACCGACAGGTTGCCCATGCGGGACAGGCCCAGCTCCATGAGGCTGAGGATGACGATGATGCTGTCGAAGATGTTCCAGCCCTGCTGGAAGTAGTAGTAGGGGTCGAGAGCGATGATCTTGAAGGTCATCTCTGCGGTGAAGATCCCGGTGAAGACCTGGGAGGGTGCGGAAAACAGGGGTTCCCCACGATTGGGATGGGAAGAGCCTCTGGCCATCAGGGGTGCTTGTTCCCACATAGTCTCCCTTCTGGGCTGCCAGCTCTGACTGCACCCAGTCTCCCAGTGGGGGCCTGCCTGGCCATGGCCTCGCCCCTTAGGGATACCTCTGCCCCGATGCCTCCAGTCCGCTCTGTTGCTCACCGAGCATGAGCTGTCAGCCTGCCCCTCAGAAACAGCCGGGCCCATCGAGGGCTCTGCAGAAATTCCGTTCAGGAAGCTCCTGAGGGCCGGGGACCCAGCCCTAGACTCCTTCCAGCCCGTGTTGCCATAGGACACACCCTCACTTCACATGTGCCAGATACACGCATTCATTCCGACAGCTACTCATGGCTCTCCTGGCTCAAGACCTTTGTCACGCTGTGCCCGCCTCCTCCTTGTCCACTTGCTGAACTTTTCTCACTGTAATAATAACCAGCCACTATTTCTTAATTGCCCTAAGAGCTGGGCTGGAATGCTTTGCAAATGTTGGTTTTTGTTTTTTTTCATCAACAAGCCGACAAAGAAATTATCATTATCCCTGTTTTACAGGGAAGGAAACTGAGGTACTGAGAGGTCAAGTAGCTTCTCCCGGGTCATGTAGCTAGTATGTTTGGGAACCAGAGATGACCTCAGTGCTGTCCTTTAAGATGTAGAGTGACCGCCTCTCCCTCTGGAAACGTTCCTGAGGTGGGCAGAGGCGGGGCCTCGCCTGGTTCATGGACTCATGAGTCCTGAGAAGCCTGGCCTCAGCTGGCAGAGACCCGTGGTCAAGGAGCCCATCCTGCGGTGGGCCAGGCAGCCGGGAACATGGCCACCTGCCCCGAGGTGTGCCAACTGCTACCACGAGGACATGATCCCGAGAGGAGGGGCTGGAGGGAAGGCGGGCCTGCCCACAAGGCCTTCCTGGCCACTTGGAGGAGCTGGGGGTTATCCTGAGGGCAGTGGGGGGCACTGAGGACTTGTGCATTTATATGAAAACATGCAAGCTTTTTATAGTTTTAATGTATATGATAACAATAGAGTATCTTTGCATTTTTTTAAGCAGAATTTATTTTGATCAAGTATATGTGTTCTTTTCGCAAGTCCTTTTTATCCCAAACATCATGTTTATGAAGTTTATCCATAACGATACATGTATATGTATTCATTCTAAGTGTATTTCATTGTATGAATACACCACAATTGACTTATCTATTTTTTAATGGATGGAGGGACATTTATGTTGATTCCAATTTTCCCTACACCTAACAATGCTGCAAAGAACTTTCTTGTACGTGTCTCTTTCTACGGACATGTGAGACTCTAGAGACTATATATACATATATACTCATATATATA